CCCTTTTTCCCCCTTTTTTGGCCCCAAAAACCCGGAGTGGACCCCAACCTTAAAACTCACAGTAGGCCTCTTTCGCGGGACACTTATTTTCCATCCATCATTTTGGGCCGTTCATACTGTCCAATAAATATATATATTATCAGTTTTAAATATAGAAGTGAATTGTCTTTCTTGCCAAAGGACCCCAGGCGGTCAACAGCCCTTGATTGGAGGATGGGATCCGTACATCCCCGGGAAAAAAACAAGGCAAAAAAGGGTCCTCCATCTATAACGGGAGTTGGCTAGTGCCCGGAAGGGGGCGTTTCCACACTGGTTTTCCCACATTTTGGACCCAATTTCAATGGCAGGGGTGTCTTTGGTTGCGGGGTTTTCACCAAAAGAAAGGCAGGATGGTCAGGGCCCAATGTGTTAAAGAGGGAAAAAGTGTGTGCTGGGGGGGCCCACTTGCCCCTCACTGGGGGCCGCCCCTGGACTTCAAAACCCCGCAGGAGCCATCAGAGGTGAGCTGAGTCTAGGAGGATGGCAAGTCATGGAGATGAAGGGAGGAGGAGGGGGCGGACAATGAGATGAGGTGAGGGAGCAGATGCTGATTGATCATGTGGGACCAACCTCATAATGATCCTTCAGCTGAGGGGAGGGAGGTGGGAGAGGGGGAGGGAGATAAAAGGACAGAGGAAGATGCCAGGTGTCTTGGGGGCCAGTGTAGCAGCATGAGCTGCAGCTCCTTCCAGTTTCCTCTCAGACTCAGTCCCTTACATCAAGTCGGGCTGCCGGCTGCTGATACACTGTAGAGTTTTGCAACTCTGTCATCTTTTTTTTTGTTTTGTTTCTCTGTCTCATTAGTTAATACACTTCATTTAATTTTGGTTACTACATATTTTGTCTTTAATATTGGTGCTGGTGGCATATTATAGCACTTATTTTTGCAATTTAAATTAAAATAAATTTAGAGTCAGTTTCATGTTTTGGTTGATTTAATATTTTTCTAATTATAATATAAATATGTAATATAATTCTAATCATTTATAAATTTAAGTAACTGGTCTTGCCTGTCGTGTAGATGGATTTCCTCCCACACTCCAAAGACAAAAGCGTTAATTGGTTCCTGTCTGAAATTGAACCTAGTATCTGTATGACTGTACAGTTCCTGTCTGAATGACCCTAGTATGTGTATGTATGTACAGTCATGGCCAAAAATATTGGCACGCCTGCATTTCTGTCAGATAATACACTATTTCGCCAGAAAATTGTTGCAATTGTACAAACGTGTTGTAGCATTCTCTTCTGTTTGTATTGAGCTATGACAACAAAAAAGTCGACCTCACTAGAAATGGAATGGAATGGCACCTTCCAAAACTGTGAGAAATAATTGCATTCCAAGTTTTTGTTTCTCTTGTAATTTGTCATTAAAACTCACCTGCATCAATTAACAGATCTTAATGTTCCTGTGTCCACTGTGCACAACATTATCAAAAAGTTTACAGCCCATGGCATTATAGCTAATCTCCCTGGATGTGGACAAAAGAGAAAAACTTGATCAAAGATTACAAGGAAGGATTGTTTGAATGGTGGATAAAGAACCTCGATAATCTTCCAGACAGATTCAAGCTGACCTTCAGGCACAGGGTACAACTGTGTCAGCTCGCACTATACGTTGCCATCTGAATAAAAAAGGGACGCTATGGAAGGAGACCGAGGAGGACCCCACCACTGACACAGAAACATAAAAAAAGCCTGATTGGAATTTGCCAAACCTTACCTGAGGAAGGCAAAATCTTTTTGGGAGAATGTGCTGTGGACAGACGAAACAAAATTACAGCTTTTTGGTAAAACCCATCATTCTACTACTGTTTTCAGAAAAAGCAATGAGGCCTTTAAAGAAAATAATACAGTCCCCTACAGTAAAACATGGTGGATGTTTTGGGGTTGCTTTGCTGCTTTAGGCACTGGAGGTTATGGCCATGTGCATGGCATTATGAAATCTGAAGACTACCAAATAATTCTTGGGTGCAATGTAGGTCCCAGTGTCAGAAAGTTGGGTCTCCACAGAGGTCATGGGTCCTCCAGCAGGACAATGACCCAAAGCACACATGAAAAAGCCCCCAGAAATGGTTTTAGATAAAGTTCTGGAATGGAACTGAACTTGCCAGCAATGAGTCCAGATCTCAATCCCATAGAGCTGCTGTGGAGAAATCTCAAAACATCAGCTGTAAAAAGAAACCTTCTAATCTGAGAGACCCTGGAGCAGCTTATTCGCTTCAATGGGTTGCCTTACACACATAAATTAAAATAAAAAGTGTATGAGCCTTTTTTCTAAATTTAAATTTTTTTTTCTGCACCCAAAATGCATGGTACTTTTTTTTACATGCATTTTAGTGCACTCGGTATAAGGTGCATTCAGGTGTCATTAATAGATAATGGCACTACCTTGCCCCTGCAAAAAGAATATGCAAAATCATGCATGATCCTGCAATGCAAAAACATGAATATAGCCTAATGACAAGCCATATGGTATGCTGCATTTAAAATAAAAGTTTTGTTTACTTACTATTTAGTTTACTGTGTTGGCAATTATTATTATTACTATTTTTATGTTTATTTTGAACTTTTTTTTAGGCCCACTATCTTTTTTATGCAGCACTAAAAAAAACAGACATACCAAATTAAAACATACAAAAACTAAATTTTACATACATGAAAGGCAAAGAGAAAAACTAACTATAGGGAGGAATATTCAGTGGCGTCCCTAGGCAGGTGCGGGGGGTGCGCGCCGCACCAGGTGACTCCGGACCCACTCCACGAAAAGGTAAGTTGTAAAACAAGCCAATGATCCCCGCAGGAATGGATCGGATCTGCTGATTGAACATAATGGATTGGAGTCCAATCCATTATGCTCCCCAATCCGCAGATCCGATCCATCCTGCTAGGATCGTCGGCTTGCTTTACAACTTACCTTTTCGTGGAGCGGGTCTGGTGTCACCCCGTATAGGTTGCATGCCGACGATCCCCGCAGGATGGATCGGATCTGCGGATTGGGCAGGATAATGGATCGGAATCTGCAGATCCGCTTGTCATAATCTATCAACATTACTTAACTCTGTCAGCATGCTGTGCATGGTGGGTGTTCTGCCAGTATAGTTATAGCACAGAAATGACCTGTTTCTGGTTTCAATACTTTTCGAGTCACTAACTTGGGACAAGAGGGAGACAGAAAGTCAGAGTAGTAATGTGCATGATTGTTCCTGGTCTGTGACTCAAAGTATTGAAGCAATTGAATCAGCAAGATAGCAAGGCAATTATTTTCTAAGAAAAAAAAAAGGATCAACAATGGTCACATTAATTATGGGTTTTCCATTATACAGGGAATTATCAGCTCTCTTTATGTCTTACACTATATGGCCAAAAGGTTGTAGAATACTGACCATCACCCTGTATGAACATGTTTGTGATCCCATTCCAAGCACCATGGGTATTAATATGGGGTTACCCATCACCACCACACACAGAAACACCTTTCCTGTAGCTCTAACAGCTACCACTCTTCTGGGAAGCCTTTCCACAAGATTTTGGACCATGTCTGTGGATCTTTGTGTCCATTCAGCCAAAGGGGTCAGGTACTTATATTGGGTGGGAGCATGTGACCTTCAATCTACGTTATAGTTTTTTGGGCTGAAGCCAGGGATCTGTGCAGACAGCCCAGATTCCTCTGCACCAGGGGTGGCAACTGTGGCCCTCCAGCTGTCGTAGAACTACAAGTCCCATGAGGCATTGCAAAACTGACAGTTACAAGCATGACTCCCAAAGGCAGAGGCATGATGGGACTTGTAGTTCACCAACAGCTGGAGGGCCACAGTTGCCCACCCCTGCTCTACACCAAACTCATCAAATCATGTTTGAAGCTGGTTTTATGAACAAGGTCACAGTCTTGATTGAACAGAAAAATGGCCTTCCCAAGCTGTTTCAACAGCGTTGTAAATGCACAACTGTATAAATGTATTCCTAAGCTGTAGCACTAATTGTGCACTTTACTAGAAGCACCACTCAGTTGTTTGAAGAAACATCCAGATATGTTTGACCATATGGTGTATGTAGATAGCAAGTGAAAACGGTTCTCCTGGTAGGAAAAATCGAAACCATCTCATAGACTGCTTCACTCAAGGTCTTTGAGCTTAGATGAAACTATCTTCTAATGTCTAACAAACACCTCAACCCTTGGTTGAATCAGAAACAGCAGATTTAGGAATCACAATTTTTTGAAGGTTATGAAGGTATTTTTATCTCAAGCACCAGTGAGCTATAAATGTTACGGATAAGAGGAAATGAGTTTTTGCAAATTTCATTAAAAATCAGGACATTTAGTGAACAAAGCCATGTCAAACTGCAGTGGGGTGTCACATTTAGATGCACAACACACCTGTAGCTCTAAAGTGAAACCAACTAAACTTCAGTGAAGACAAAATCAGTAATTGGGTTGCAAAATCATGTTCAGCCCTATTGGCCACTCAACCCTAATTACCATGAAACTTCAGCAAAAAAACAACTGTTATAATACAAGAAACAGATGAATATCATTAGGGTTGATTCTCATACCAAAATAAAAAAATGTTGCACAATTGTGGTTTTCTAGCTTTATTATTGATAAATAAAATATAATACATGCGTTGTCAAAAGTGCATACAGTTAACATTTTTGTAACAAGATGAAAGATTCTACAGTCCTCTAAGCAGGCTGGGAAATAGGCTTGGTACAGGTGCAACCAACAGTAACCAACTGTGTTTCCAGAAAGAAGTTCTGGTGGCAATCTTTGATCTCTCGGCGAAGGACCAGAATTTCCTTTTGGATGGGCATGGACATCATCCCAATGTCTTCTTTGCCCTCCATGTCCAGACACCACTGATGTTCACATACTGCTTGACGAATAATGGTAGGGATTCTGTTTTCATCCTCATCCATTCTGAAAAAAAATCATAGATGAGACTGTAAATTGAAGACAGCATACATTCATCGGTAATATATTTGTAGCTTACAGAGAGACCCAAACAAGCCAAGGTCCTCCAGATGATGTGCCACTAAAATGTTTTTTACTACTAGAACAGTTATTTCTTTTCAAGAGGTCAATATTACACAATTCTGTAGATCATATAATGAAGAAGTACAACTTAAACCCCAAACAAAACATGGACAAGAACAGAACAAGGGGTTCCAAGCTTGAAAAAGTTTGTTGGGGAAATGGTAAGCACAATACTGTCTTACGTTGGCTGAAGAAAAAAATAGGATAGAGAGTATTCAGGGTTGATAGAAATTGGGAGTTATAATTTTCACAAAATGATGGCTAAAGGTACTGGGGTCAATAAGAAAGGCAAAATTAATGACTAGATCACCTTCAGGGACATGTTTGATGTTACACCTATATTGAGGGTGTAACATGAAATATGTTAACATTTACCCACCCCCACCACAAACTGCTCCCATCAGGTGCTTCTACCTCCAGACATCTGTTTAGTCTTGAATTTAATGGGGCTGTGTGTAGCTCTGCCTGCACAGCCATGTTGTCCATCCATAAAAATCTATGAATAAAGTCCCATCATGTTGGAGGGACTACTAGATGTCAATTTAGCACAAGTGGTGTCACTACACTTATAGTTCAGTGTTTACTTTCTCCAGCCCTGTACCTGAAGGTCCAACTTAGAGACCTGGGTCTGGATGAAAAGTCTGTAGGAGTCTGTGCAATCAACTGGTCATGGCTGCAATGTTCAGCAGGCTCCAAAACAAAAAAATAATAAACTCACATTTTCTTATTATTTGGGTGCATTTATTACACTTTTACAAAGGATGGAATTTGCTTTTTTTTTTAAGTTTTGGTGGTTTTTCCAAGAGTGGGCTTCTGAGGGTTACATTAGACCTGTTTCTGTGCCAAGAAATTGTCCTTCCCAATTTAATTTTTTTAACAGATAAAAAACATAATTAAAAAAAGACGATAAAAGGAATTAAAGTGCCAGTATGCAAAATATAAATTTAAAAGAATTTGGAAAAAAAAGACAATTACAAAGATCATTGAATGAAAAAAATAATAAACTACTCTATATATACCATCTCAAAAATAAATAAGTACATAAATACACCCCTAAAAAAAGTCTTATTTTTAACCAAGTGTTACCAAAGTAGCCAAGAAAGTAATATTTATAGATGGCGAAAATGGTAATTTTGCAGCAAAATCAATTTAGCCAAAATCACTCTGCTCATCACTGGAGATGAAGACAAACATTTTAAGGATTTATAGCTTGGTGACCTGAACCTATAGGTTGTATGGCACCAGGATGTATAGCTAAATCCTTTTACCTGCAAGTATTCACTTTCACTTCATCACTCTCCTTAAAAAAACTATATAGCTAAAAGTCTGTGGACCCCTGACCATCATGCTGATATGAGTTTGGTGGACATCTCATTTCAAAACCATAGATGTCAATATGGAGTTGACACCTTTCATGGTTATAACAGCTTCCACTGTTCTGGGTAACATTTTCCACAGGATTCCAAAGGATGTCTGGGTAAATTTGTGCCCATTCAGCAAAAAGAGCATTTGTAAGGTCAGGTGATGATGTTGGATGTGAAGACCTAGCTCACAGAATTTGTCAACTGTCACTTACAAACAAAGTAATGCAAGCAAAGTTAGCTCATTTAATTTGTTGTACATATCAGGGTTGATTTACTAAAACTGGAGCACTTAGAATCTGGTGCATCTGTGCAAGGTGGGCAATCAGCTTCTAACTTCAGTTTGTTCAATTAAGCTTTGGCAAAAAAACATTGAAGCCGATTGGATTCTATTCAGTGCTGCCCCAGATTTTGCACTCTTCAGTTTTAGTAAACCAACCCCATTAAATGAACCCCAACATGCGATTGTGAAGGTTTGAAATTAAGAATTTACTAAAAAGGAAGATACGTTACTTGTAACTCCAGGGTGAGAGGGAGCGCAAATGTACTTCTCCTTCTATAATGTGACCTATGTCAATGCTTGTGTTGAGGCTGAGTCTTAGATTCTGCAGAAAAATCTTATCTCTGGGGAAAGGGCATGGTTTACTGTTTACTGTAGACACCGAGCAGAACAGCAGACACAATCACCAGCAACTGAGAAATAAAGACAAGACGGCACTGAATACTACAAATCATGATATTCATAATGACAATCATCATAAAAAAAGAATAAATGTCAAATAGTAGACATAGTAGTAATCCAGCCCGATATACTGCAACATCACTAACAATAATACAATAATAGTAATATACATTATTCTTTTGGCTAACATCTAGGAAAACCAATTTCACAGGCCACGTGCTTAGTATTTATATATATGGAAATAACAGCATTAAATAAATATCTATCTATCAGGGGTGGACTGACAACTCATGGGGCCCCCAGGCAATAGAGGATCATGGGGCCCCTGTGTCCTTGCCCAAACTCAAAAAAGCCTATGAAAAAGGTACCAGGGCCCCCTACTGACTCAGGCAGTGCCCGAGTTTCCAAATGGTCAGTCCGCCCTTGCTATCTATCTATCTATCTATCTATCTATCTATCTATCTATCTATCTATTTGTCTATCTATCTATCTATCTATGTATGTATGTATATCTATCTATCTATTTATCTATCTATCTATCTATCAATCTCTATTGACTCTGTATGTCCATATAAGTATCATACATCTATCTGCAACCTGTCTATCTAACTTGCTCTGTGTATCCATCTATCACTCTTTGTGTATGTATTTTTAGCATTATATTGTGTTGTGTTGTTGTATAGTGCTAAATTATCTATCTATCTATCTATCTATCTATCTATCTATCTATCTATCTATCTAATTCAATGAGTTATACCCATATGGAAGAAAAATATATTTCAAATATATTTAAAAAAATATTCTTTCCAAATTTATTGACATATTTTTGAAATGCTACAATTTTGGCCATATTCAGTATATTTCAAAATATATTTCAATATATATATATATATATATATATATATATATATATATATATATACATACTGCATGTTGAAATAGGTTTTTATTACAACATATATGAAAAATATGTTTAAAAATACATTTCAAATATACTGTATGTCTTTTAATTTACAAATCTGCATTTTTGGAATGCATTTACAAATATATGTAAAAATATATGTTAAAATGACTTTTTTTAATGTTAAAATTTTTTTTTAAATAAATATTTTTTTAAATGTATTCTTCAGATTTTTTTAACATATAAAAAAGTAATTTTAACATATATTTTTAGATATATTGGTAAATGCATTCCAAAAATGTAGATTTGTATTTTTAAAGACATGCAGTATATTTGAAATGTATTTTTAAAAATAGTTTTCATATTGTAATAAAAACGCATTTCAACATGCAGTGTATATATATATATATATATATATATATATATATATATATATATATATAATTGAAATATATTGAATATGGCCAAAATTGTAGCATTTCAAATATATGTCAATATATTTGGGAAGAATATTTTTAAAAATATATTTCAAATATATTTTTCTTCCATATGGGTAGTACTTTGCTCACTGTCATCCTTGTTTTCTGTGTTTTATAGAATAAGCCTATATATAACTTACCATTGCAAATATTCTGGGTAAAGTCATTGTTGGTATCTATTTTATCTTCTCTTGCTCTCCAGGTGTCTATGAATCTTCTAGGCTTTTAGCAATCTGGCCCCATAAATTTATATACCTTGTGCAGCTGTTCTGGGTTTCCCCATAATGTAAAACTATGACTGCATTTTCCATCAATTCTGCCAAAACTCCATGGGAAAAATTATTATCTTAATGACTAATTTTATAATTTGCTGTTAGCTAAATCAAACATCTTCAAAGCGTAAATTGGGTCAGATATTTGCATATGGTCAAAGCCACAAAATATAATTAGGTCATGACGCTACCTGTATTAACCTGAAAGTGGTTATAGGTGGTGACATTTGATTTTTCAGCAAGCCCATCAACAGAAAAATGTAATTATTTGTGTTCCTGCAATGTACAGTAGAATGTAATGGCTGGGAAATTAAACAGACAAAAAAAAATATGTATATCTTTCAGGTTCAAGACTTGATACGTTTTCAGGAACCCAGACCCCCTTCACTTTTTTCAATTTTGTTATGTTGCAACCTGATACTAGTTTTTTTAAATGCATGTTTTTTTTTCTCGTTAATCTACAGTCCGTACCCCATAATGACAAAGTGAAAACAGAATTTTAGAATTGTCTGCAAATGTATGAAAAAGTAAAAACTGAGCTATCGCATTGGCATAAGTATTCACAACCTTTGCAACAACACTTGGAATTTAGCTTAAGTGACTCCCATTTCTCTGAGATCATTGCTGAGATGTTTCTACGCCTTGATTGGAATCCACCTGTGGTAAATGGAATTGATTGGACATGATTTGGAAAGGAAGTGTACAATCCAAATGCACACATTTCTGCGTTAAAAATGTCTGTGTGTATAAGTGGGTGCTGCAGTGACCATCGGCTGGAACCGAACAGAATCAGCAAGGAAAAATGTCACCAGCACACCGAGGATCACCAATATGGGTCCAAAAGTTTTAATGAACAATCACATAGTTACAGCAAGGCAACATTTCGGAGTCTCACAGGACCCTTTCATCAGGCATGTGACTACCATGTCACATGCCTGATGAATGGGTCCTACGAGACTCCAAAACGTTGCTTTGCTATAACTATGTGATCGTTCATTAAAACTTTTGGACCCATACTGGTGATCCTCGGTGTACTACCACAGATCCTCAGTGTGCTGGTGACATTTTCCCTTGATGATTTGGAACACATCTCTTTATAAAAGGCCTCACAGCTG